GGAACTATAACCAACCTCAGCAGGTGAAAATAATACTCAAAAAGCACTATCTTCAATTTTTGAATATGTTAGCCATTTGTATTTAGTTAACCAAAATATATAAGATTTCCTATTTTGATTGCCAATTTGTTGATTAGAAAAATTAAAATTATTATTGGAAATCCACACATTTTGTAAAACTTGAATTTTTTTCGTTATCGTTGAGTTTTTATGGTCAAATAATGATATGTCAAAAGAAGAAATATTTTCATAATTAACAACAATATCAGATGTTGACAGCGAAGCAAATAGTTCTTGAGAGTGTTACATTGATTTTTGGAATTTTTGGTTTAATACTAATATAGTTAAATACCACTAGTACCAGTTCGAATAATCGAATGATGAGTAGTCGAAAACAAAATAATCAAATAATTAGTAAACGAAATCAAAATAATTGAATAATCTAATGATTAGTATACAAAATCAAATTAATCGAATAATCAAATGATTCATGATTTAGCTGCTTGAACTGGTTGTATAAATAACTCATTAGTGTGGCGATTATCAATATCGGGGAATTATACCAATGATTAAAAATAAAATAAATAATAATACAATAGGTACTGATGGACAGTTGACTTCTTAATTTAGTACTCAATGGACAGTAAGTAAAACACGCAATTTTTTCGAATAATTCAATTAATTTGCCTTTGATAAATATGTCTGGTATGAGTGGCGTGATTGGGGGGTCGCAAGGGGTCGCATTTGCGACCTCAAATATGATGTATGGGTTGTATAAGTATTATTTTGCAACCACTGAAAATTCCATATTTTTGGTTTATCGCTATATAGTAAAAAAATTAAAATAAGTAATTATTTAGTTAAATAATAATTATTATGAAATAAAAAAAAGTTGAAGAATGAGAAAATTGAGACGATAATAACATCGATAACAATACGACAACGAAGAAGTTTTAATCTAAAAATAAGTTATATTAGATATTAAATAAAATTAAATATAATATTGGTTGTAATTATATTATAATTATAAAAGATTATGCCATTTAAAATTTAAATAAAAGTAATGTTTGTGGCTATATATTAATTATAAAAAATTTAAATTTATAGTTTTTAATAACATGTATTTATATATAATAATTATATAGATTTATAATTTACTTTATATTAATAGAATATAATAATACGGTTATATTAAAACATTGTTTTATAATGTTGGGTGTGTGGGGGCGAAGCCCACACGGGTTTGTGCATCCTGAGTAAGTTTTGCAAACTCTGATATTTTTTCTGAATTACGCCACTGTCTGGTCCATTATTTGGATTATTAAAATTATTCGATTATTTTAATAATTGAAAAATAATAACCGAATCATTCGATTATTCTCATCACTAGTAATCATCACAGAATAGCAGTGGCGGCGTGACGGCAGATTTTTGAGTCCCTGGACTCAAGTCAGTGGGTAGGTAGGTGGTGGGTGGGTATTGACAATTGAGTATCGAGTGGGTATGTAGCATGTAGAACGAATAGTGGGGGAGCTCTTTTAACAAGCTACCCTTAAATTTCTTTTTAGATGGGTGGGTGAGCAAAATACTAACAGGGCTCATGAAGTAAAATATTTAGCGCCGCCACTGCAGAATAGATTAAATCAAAATGGACACTATCTTAATCCATGCATTGCTTTATAATGGATACCATGCCTAACATGGTATAATAACATAGCGACGACTTTCCTTAGCTTTCTTCGATTACAAATTTCATTAGTTTTAATTTTTACGTGAGGGGGCCCAGGGAGGCCGGGTCCTCTTCGAAATTAAAAACACCATTGTTAAAAAATACTATTTTTAAAATGGATATATCTTGATTCTGGGAGTTTCCAAAAATTTGTCACGACACTGAGAATGTTGCTTATGCGATAATTTAAAATTTTATATTTATAAAATATGTTTATTCTATTAAGAAAATATGTGGTGAATTTTGAGTGACTCTAACAAAAAAATTGTTTATTACAATGTAGTTTTTATACTTTTAAAAAATAATAAATCATTAAAAAAATTTAGTTTATTTCTCTGATGGTGTAAAGACAGTCTTATAGTGTTAAAGTAATTTTTTTTTGTAATAGTGTGCTTCCTCCTTCCCTTCCATCCAAAAATCAAATACATAATCGGCCCTCTCCGAAATGAAAACCTATATATGCCAGTGCTATTCATAAACAACTCAAAAATAAATAATTTTTCGTTCAAAATATCTATAAAAATTTTAGTAACCTTATTGGAATAATAAATAAATATTAATTTAAAAATGATAAAAAATTTAAAATAATTAAATGGTTAATACTCGTAAATTAATATATAAATAAACGAATAGTTTATGTACCTATAGAAATAAATAAAATCTTCGTCTGGCGTATTATTGTATACGTAAATACGACCGGTATTGAATTAAAAATTCATCATTAGGTATATACTACTAAGTAAATAAAATTGCGATTGAATGTGAAAAAATAAAATCGCAACTGAACATGAAACTAAAGGAAGATATACATTGATAAAAATTATGATACATTTTTATTTTAAAATCGGTCGTACTTAATAAATGTAATAATACTCTAAGCTAAGGTTCTAGCTTAAGGCTTTTATTAATTTATTTCTATAAATAAACTATTTATTTATTTATATATTAGTAATAAATTGTTGTTATTTTTCCTATCAAATACATGCAAATAAAAATATATTAACAAACTAGCTGACCCGACAAACGTTGTTTTGTCATATAAATTATTTCTAGAGAATATTTTGCTAGAAAAAAATAACTAATTAAATATAGGCATGTAAGAATGTGGGTAAGGATAAGGATGTAAGGAAGATATATGGCGTGCTATGAATGGTAATTGTTTATCTTGAGATTCAATTCGTTGACGTCCACATTTTTTACTACTAAAATTGCCCTTTCTGCCAGCCACTCATGATTTATGTATTGTCTGTGTACATTGGAAAATATCTAGTCAATGAGAGCATCTTGCGAATAAATGATTGTGCAGAAATCGGTCGGTAATTTTATACATTCCGTTTTATCTGTAGTAACTTTCCCATCTCCAATATCTAACAATTGTTTTGAGAATCTTCTGCACGCAGCTTTTTTTGATTAAATCGCAAGTATCAAAATCGTTCGCTCTCTGTCTTTACATACATTTCGACCATGAATTGTTGACGAAGCTCATGATATCGTAGAATAATTTTGTCTTGATCTCGTTTAATCATCAACCGATATGCATAATAATTTTTCGAACTAACATTCTTATTTGTTTTGACACCTGTTGCGGGATCTTTTGTTGTTTAATATTTATGCAATAACCGTCATTTACTACCAAAAATAAAATTAATAGTTTTTAAATAGTTTTTTTTATAGTTTTTTAATAGTTTTTTAATAGTTTTATTTAATAATTCATTTTCAATTGTGTAGTTATCGACCGGGTCAAAAAGGGCTATTTTTAGGGTTTTTCCAGCAATAATTCTAATTTTTCTCGCCGTAAAAACCATCCTTGAACTTCAACGAACATTTGAAAAAAAAAATTTGGCCAAATTGGTCCAGGCGTTGTTGAGTTATGCGCTTACCAACACATTTTGCGATTCATTTTTATATTATAGATTACTTGACAAAAGATTCAATCAAAGATATTTTTACCCAATTATCATAATTTATAACTAATGATGAAACAAATGTAAGTATATTATTATTTGTTAATGATTGATAATCGCTTCATGTTCGTTAAGCAACAATATAAGACTGCACAAAATTTCTCGTTATGATATTTAAGTTTAAATTAATATTAAATATTTTATAATTCTTAATTAATCAATGTACTATTCATATTAGTTTTATTTTTATAACTAAAAACTTAAAATTCTGCAACCAGAATAATAAAATAAAAGTTCTACACTTAGTGTAATGCTAAAATAATCTAATATTATTATTAAATTCATGTTACATGTTTAAGCTAATTGTTAAAGCCGTTAGGTGTCTATTAATAAAATAAAGTAAATAAAACATTGTAGTATGGAAATGTGAATGAAAGTTAAATTGTATTACATTGAATATTAATTTAAGTAATTCAACTCAATCAAAAGATCAAATAATTTTTATCTATTAAACTGCAGTTTTTGTGACCTTGGTAATTCAACTATTGGAGTAATAAATAATGAAATATGTTGCTGTAAAATTATGTAAGCTAATGAATGACTCAACTAAGACTCATTAAGACCATAGTCAGCCTATATAATTTTAGATATTTCTTGACTTTTAATAACCTGACTACAACGCTAACATGCTCTATAACCATAATCCTTTTTTTTTTTTGTTTCGATCCAATACTTGAGAAGTAATTTTATGTCTCATATTATAATTTCAACCAAAATAATTTCTTTTACTATTTTTACTCCAAGAATAAATTATCAGCAAAATTCAAAAACAAATTAAATCAAATATAACACTAATTAAAAAAATTAAATGTCTTTAAAATATGTGTATTTCATATGTATATATTTGTGTAATGAAATAAATAATTGTAGAACACAACTGCTATATAATAACAAAACATTCAATAATAAATTATCTTTTAAAAAGTTCCCTCCCAATAATAATAGATGATTAATTGCACTAGTGTTAATACATTTTGCACTGGGTAATAAAATCTAACCTAATATAAGATTTGATCTTTGCCATAAAGTGTATAAATCTAACAAAAATATGTGTACAAAGAAAAATAATAATAATAATAATAATAATAACACAAGTCAATACATCACAACAAACTTGAGCTTAGAAGCTATCATTGAACAACATTGTACACACATAATAATTAATATATTTAGCTGTATAATTGTCATTAATTTGATACGACTTAAAGTTTAATACTACATTAAACAATAATAGGCACATAAAACACAATTTATAACATAAATATAATTTATATAAATAAAAATCATAGTTTTGACATTTAAATTTGTTGAACTAAGGTTAGCTAATACAATTTTATATTCATAACATGTGATAATTAAAATAAAATCAATTTTGTTTTTCAGTAGAAGTTCTTTGGTCAATAATATTTGATCGTTATTTTATTGTCCTTTGTTTGTTCATATTAGACAACATAAGTGATATGTAAGAAGTCAGCAAGTCATCCATTTTGTATCCCAATGATGTTTCACATAACAACTTCGACCCTCTGACTAAATTCCCAATTGTCATATGAAAATAAGTATTGCCTGATGACCAGTTTGATATTCTTGTGAATGGGTGAGTTACTAATATTTCCTAATATTAAAATAACACAATTTACATTATTGAATATTGCTTATAAATATACTATAGGTTTTGTTTATGTTAATAAATAACAACAAATGCATACCTTTGTTTGTGGATGTATTAGACTAATCCCATGCTTGTTGATAGCTATCAATAATAGTTCTGGGTAATTTGGCTCAGTGGTTTGCTTCACTTCAAAGAAAGCAGACCCAAATGTAGGCCACCGATAAATTATTTTCAGGAATGTAATTTTAGCGTCTTCAGCACTCATACCTAAAAATGATTATGGTTAATAATATAAATAGTCTTGAAAGAATGATTATAACTAGTATTTAACCTGTATCTTGGTTGTATACCGCTATAATCAATCGTTTCCACTCAGCTGAGTTTTGAACTTTTAACAGATCTCCAGGGATTAGTTCACGTAACATTTGACTAAAGCAACAAATATACAAAATGTATTATAAATATAAAATTATGTATTATATACATTATACACTCATACTAGCCCATAGAATAATTAAAAACGATATTTTATGACATTAACTATAAACAAATGTTTGACCTTAGATTATTAACATAGGCGTGCGCTGGGGGGATTCCGGGTATGCCATGGCATCACTTGTGGTCTGCAGAGCCAGCTTATTGTTTTGTTTTTCTGCTTTTAATTACATTTCTACTTTAATAAAGATTTATGTAAGCCTGTTAAGAAATTTATTGATATTCAACGTTTGACTGCAGTAGATATTAATATGAATTTAATAGTTAAACAAATAAAATTGTGCAGTTAATTGGAAATCGATCATAGCTGTATGTTCTGACGGAGCTTCATCTACGAGTGGAAAATTGAATAGTGTACAGTCTAAAGTCAATGAAATCATATGTAATCTATGTCCACTGTTATGGCCATTGGTTGATAGTTTAGGTCCTCAGCCTAAGCCTTAAGGAATAAAAACCTGGTTGTTTTCTTTTTTTTTTTTTTTTTTTTTTTTTTAATGTGTCTAGCTAATCTACAGTTTTATTGGTGTGAATCCAGTGAAATATGCTGTTTTTTTCAAAAATTTACATTATATATATTAAAACCTATATTAATATAAATCCAAATTGTCAGTGCTCAATAATTAATAATTACGAGCACCCAATTTGAATTTATTAGATGGAGTATATATTGTAAATTATTTGAAAAAATCTATTAGTGAGTTAAGAAGAAATGATGAAAATAATCATTATAGCTTTATGAGAAGGTTCTTACAGTTAGTAATGAATTTGATATTTAAATACGTGTAAAAATTAAGAAGGTTTCTATAAAAACTGATTATATGAAATCACAACATACCATAACCGATAAAAGTGAGATGAAATATCATGTTTTCTTGAAAACCAATTTATCCAGGAAACATTAAATGTTATTAGTGTAATTGGTCGTTTAATAAAACTAAAAGCTGAAAAATTTGACATAGAATTACTTTCACGGAAATTTGTACTTAATAGTGACGAATTGGAAGGTGAATTATGATTTTTACGTTCTTTGTCTGATTTTGTAGCAGGCCCATCAAACAAAACAACAATTTATTAGTGGTTAGAAAAATTATCAACAAGTAAAATTTTTTATAACATACATAAAGCAATGAAACTTTTCATTACGATTCCTGTCGCAAGCTGCTCTTATGAAAGTACTTTTTGCAAACTAAGTTTGGTAAAAACAAAATTAAAAAGCCGCGTGAAACAAGGATGTTTGGATGCAATAATGTTGATATTTGTTGAACAAGAACTAGCATCACAGATAAATTATGAAAATGTTATTGATAAGTTAAAGAATTTACATCTTTTTGACCAAAGATTAGAACTATAATAAAGTATACATATTATATAAATTAAATTCATATTAATTAGTAATAAAATGCAAAGTTAAAATTATATTTTTACTTGTATATATTGACTATTATTTTGAGAACTTTGTAGTTATATAAAAAATGTATAAGTTTTTTTATGTCTTTTTGAAGGGAGTTAAAAATTGAGTTATTTTAAAATATATTGGAATCCCCTACAGCAAAAGTCTGCGCACGTTTATGATTGTTAATGTAAGTATTTAACCATCACTCTTTAAACTTGTAGTCAGTATGGGTGTGTACATGTAATAATATTGTAAATATATTACGGTATGGCCTGTAGTTCTTGCTTGCTTTCCCCAAATCGAACTCTATAAATCAAAGCAGCCAATCTAGTAGCTTCTTCTTTAGAACACTTGTGATACCCTAAAACATAATGTTAATCTTATATATTAAAAATATTTATGGAAACTAAAGTCTGTCTGGCCGTTCTAATCGGCCGATTTCCTTCATTTTTTTTTTTTTTTTTTTTTAATGAAAGGTATTTAGACACAGATATGTCATTAATCATTGAAATTTACTCAACTCCCCCCAACGCGATTCTTCCCTGTATATTTCTTATAGGGACACATTCACTCAAGCAATTCGAATTCTCATAGTTCCTCTTCTAATGAATGGATCTTGATCGTTTTACACTCAGAACACTCAGTGGATCAAGCTTTCTTTTGAACTTTTAACTGATTAAAGTCGTTGAGTTTGAGGAAAGTTATGCGTGCATAATTAACCTTACATTCAATTTTTTCCAAATATTGCATTCTTATTGGCTCTTACCCAGTGATATAACAACAAACAACTCACAAACAATACTAATATTATTACTTTTATTAGCTAATATTGTCTGGAAGAAAGCACTGTAAAATGATTTTATGTAATAATTACATCCTTTCATACATAGTCTAGTTCTGTGGAACATATATTTTAATAAACACTCTCTGTTATTTCGATATGTCTTTCAATTTTCGATATAATACTCATTTATTGATTTGTTAAAATGTGTTTATGTATTGATTCAATTGCACCTATAATTTTTATTATATAAATAAATTATCTAATGCGAATTTTCGCAATGGGTATACTAGTAATTATTATCATAAAAACTAAATTAGTATGTATAAAATATTATTTCAACAATCTTGATTAATTTAAATTTCAAAAAATTAAACAGAATTTAATCTTGCTGGGTTACATAGATTTTTATATTTAAACCCGGCAACGACGGGTAATTCAGCTAGTATTTTATTAAATAAGAATGAATGTTTCTTATTATCTAATGAAGTATATTTTTTTAATATATATTTCTCTATAAACTTACCACGTAAAAGTTTAGGAAGTTCTTGGTGGAAATGAAATATTAAATCTGCATTTCTGTCTTTCCCAGGTACTGTATTTGTCCATAATTTCTTCATGAAAAATACTTGATAAGTAAATTGCGGCGCTGCACCTGTAAGAAAAATAACAATAATTAGCTTAATATAAGTTAGATATGAATAATATTTTGCAAATAGTTAATATGCATTTTTATACTAACCATCTCTTGTGGGTCTAGCTTTTTTTATCCAATCAGTAAGATGACGAACAAAGTCGAAAAAAAAATCTCCTTCGGGAACAGAAATTACTTTATCAGCAATTTTCACAAACAAACTAAAACCCTCACTGGATCGTAATGTCAATCTTTGCGAAATATTTGTACAAAAATCTTTTGCTCTTGTTGATGAGTCAACTTCAAAAGCTTCATCAGTGTCATCAGGGAAAAATACTTTATGAAATATTTGTGTAGTCTTATGTTGTATGGCTTCAACTTCTACTTGATGAGGTGGATATTTTCTTTGACCATTTCTAATAGTCTTTTGAAGCCTCTGTAAGGAGTCTTGAGATATGGGATGACGTCTTGTCCGTAAAAATAAATTCAATTCCTATAAATTTTGATTAATAAATAATTGTACGATAAATATAAAATATAAGATATAAAAATATCTTACTTTCAATAAATTTTGGCTGCAAGCAAATAAACCAGTTGCTAGCCACATTAATTCCCATGCTCTTTCTTCGCTTAATCTATTCCTATTATCGGTCAACTGTCTCATTAATTGACAGTAAATTTCATCTCTTAATATTTCCTGAAATTGTAATTTTTATATATATTATTTGATAACTCAAACATTTTTTTTTCTTTTCCTTTTATCATATTCAGTCGTAATTTTATCGACTTTGTCAATAATACTTGATGACGAGTTTTTAATTTTAAATTGGTGGTACACTACAAATATAATAATAAAACTCCAGGCTAAGCATTTATTTATTTATAAAAACTGTTTATTTACTCTTATATATTAATTTTAAAGTATTAACTATTTACTAATTTTTAATTTATTTTTTATTATTATATCATCAAAAATTTTTTTACGTGTTTCAAGGGCCCGTCAAATATTTGATCAGTATATTCATTAGGCAATCGTCTTTTAGCTGGTAAATCGCCAGTATACTTCAACATTGCTGCAAATGCAAAACATGCTTCCTCAGCTAGTTCTTCTTTCCCAGCAAGTTTTCTTAACAATGGTTGTTTCATTGGTTCTCTTGTATGTCTCCACATATCATCATTATTCGCACGTCTAGCCGAACTTAATGTTAATGCTTTAGAAACTGTACGTTTAGCTGGAGCTCTGTAATTAGCAGGAAACATTATTATAAAAAATAATATAAGTATTGAAAATACTAACCGAAAATGATCAATAGCATATTCCATTAAATTATGAGGTTTTTCTCTTGGTTCTGTACCATTTAATGGTTGTGAATACAGTTTACGGCTATGATCTGCAGCTTCTAAGCTAAACAACGCCTGAAAATACAAAATGTATGATCCATAAACATTTAAAAAATATATTATCATACATTTTTACATGTTTCTATATTTTAAATTTAAGTAGCATATTTAGAATACTAGTTTAACATTTACGTTTTCAGAAAATATTTTTTTTATGAAGATTGTATAGACGAAATAAATATTATTAAGTAAGGTCCAAAATCAAATTGATATACATTTATAATAGTGATGAACAACGATATTTTTTCCGTTATCGACATTGGTTCATTAATATATATCATATCGCGATATCGAAAAACAATCGATATAATAACTATATTGTATTGATAAATATTGATATAATAATTCGATATAATTTATTAATTTACAATAATTTATAGACTAAAAAAAGAATTAATTGACAGTTTTTTTTTTTGACTTAATATTTCTTACATTAAAAAAATATAAATAAGAAGAAAAAAAAAATTTTCATATAATATAATAAAAAACAAAAATTAAAAAATTTAAATTGAATTCAAATTACAAGTAAATTTTTTATTTTTCATCTACTATAGGTACCTCTGAGTGTTGTACAATTACTTCCTGAAAATATGCATATATTTAAAATTATTAAGTATTTAGCAATTAATTATTTTAATAGTATATGCCACTATGATCTCCAGGTAATGGTACTATCTTAATAGAACTCATAATTGTTATTTAATTGTAAATATCAGACGATATACTAACTCAACGTAGACGACGGAAAAAACGAGACCAATCATAAAAATCCAACAGTCACAGCTATGTACGTCTATTGTAAGGGTTTTATGGTATTGATTATCGTTAGTATTTAATCGTTCTTTTGACATTGATTCATCGTCAAAACTTATATAATATTAATAAAAAATAGAAATCTCAAATTGCATTGCAACGAATCGATATCAATTTTTTATATCGATAAAGTATTGGATATTTACCTACGATATCGAATATTATTTTTGTCATATCGATATCGGTAAAATTGGTCTGATATCGATATCGATATCGAAATACGACATCATTATACATCAATAATAATTAATACCTGACAAAATAACTAATAATCAATTAAATTGATAAAAAAATAACAAATGTTAAAACTTAAGTGATTTTCCTTAACTAATATTCATTCTGAGAATACATTTTTATTTCTTAATGCACTTTTTATTATTAAAAATATTACATATTTAAATTTCAAGAAAATAATGAATTAAATTGATTATTCTATCACAATCAAATTAAAATTTAATTCTCACCAAAATATCCACAGGTGGTTTTGATAAAGTTGGTAGTACATAAACTGTTTCAGCAGGGAAATCTCCTCTTTCACCAGTTCTCTCACAATATCCAACACACCAGCCAGATGTCATAACTGTTTCTCCAGTACTTTCGTCTTCCAAAATAATTAAATCACCTTTTTGAAAATTTAAAAACGATGTTCCTTCTCCTAAAAAATTAACAACAGAATAAATTACAATTTAATTTTAACGAATAATGCATATAAAATTTACCAGGCGCTTTATAATCCTGAACTCCAATTACAAAAGTAGATCGTTTTTTCAACCCTTCTAAAAAATAAACTACCAAGTCTCTGATATCCTCAGCATTTGGACTCTGAAATGTAAATTCTTCCCCACGCACAGTTGAAAGTGTAAAAGTTTGAGTAAACACTTTTGTAGTTCTGAAATAAAAATTGACAGTTAATTAAACCCTTTAATATTCATAAATATTTCAACATACTTTTGACTAGAGACTGTAGTTATTTCAGGAAATGATAACTCTAATAAAACTTGTTCCTGGTCATCAACAACATAAACGCCAGTCCAATTAACGGCAATTATTACATCATTTTTTGGCAAATTCGGACCTATCAATAATATTAATATACAGTATCATTAAGTGAATAAAATACTAAATTACATATTCTAAAAATCATAGTATTAGAAACATATACAAAAAAAAGAAAGTAATTGTGAAAATTAAGTATATAACCATAAATAATCAACGCTATAATACAATTAAATATACGAGTATATATTACAATACCTGAATTTCTGTATGCTTCGTAAAATCTGGAGAATAATAATGGCCATTTAAATTTAGCATAACTCACAACATCTTCTTTAACTCTCAAATGAGCAACGTTTTCTTTCAAATAATAACTCTAAGATTGATTAACATGCAAAAAATATAAATAAATTATAATCAAGTAAAATAAATATAAAAATATGAAAACTGAATGCCAAAATACTGTGATATTAAAAAATCAATGTACGAACAAAAAATGGCACGCCGAACAAATTATAATTCCTTTTATTTTGTTACATACTATTATGAAACCTTCTTTTTATTTGTTGCAAATATGCATATCAAGATAAATCTATTGCTCTTTACATATGAAACATTTAGATAAGAAATATATAGCAAAATAACTTACAATTTAAGAATATTTTATCGTTAATTTAAATATGTTTGAATATGCTTCTAATATTTTAAAATTTTAAAAACACTCGAGTATTGGTAGGATAAGCGTTCAATCATTCTAAACAGTTATAGTTATAATATCTAATTACTTCGACCGTCGATTAAGAAAACGTGATTCACCAGGAATCAAAGCGTAAAAATACGTCTTACGTGGGACAAAACCGTGCAATAAAAATTCCAAGTAGACTGAATGGTTTTATATCGTGCATAATTTTTTTTACCTAAAATCGTAAATAAATTATTTTATTTATGGATCCACGGATACAGTAACAATCACACGTAATGCCCTGAATTTATACGAGCGTACTGTATTGTGGTCAAACATGGGGCATTAAGTCTAGGACACACACAGCGGTGGATTGGCCCACCGGGATACCGGGAAAGTTCCCGGTGGGCCGCTAATCGTATTGTAACACTGGGCCGATGTACTTGGATTAAAAGTTATTTTATAAAAATAATGTATTTAAGTATATTGTATTAAATTGTAAAATTGTGATAAAAACCTAGTGTAAACGTGATATTAATCAGTTCTACGAGTATTTAATCTATGAATAAATAAGACTTTTATGAAAAATTATTATTATTGGTCGGTCATACCGTAATTTCCCGGGCCGAAATGTTAAGCCAATCCGCCGCTGGACACACATTTAAGTATCATGTCCTCTCAACAAATTAAAAATAATAAATTTATTTTTAAACTACTTTCAAAATAATGAAATCTATTGAAAATTTGCAATAACTTTAATACACAGATATAAATGTTTAATTAAGTATGATATTCAATTTTCTTTACTTAAAATATTACATACTTAAAACATAGAACAAGATATTTTTATTACTAAACATGTTGAAAATGAGAGTTATGTCAAACAATTTTATTTTTAATATTTTTAATATTTTAACCAATTTAGATAATTTTTTAAAAACATTTATAATACCGTGCTACTTCTATATTAATAATGTGTCTGTAAAACTAAATATGATTGAATTCAACTTCAAATCCACTTAAGTTATTAATTATGATTAATGTCTTATAAGTAGGGTTCGGAAGTTATAAGTTATATACACTCTCGATTTATAGCAGACCAAGCTAGAAATCCGAACTATACAATGTTGAATTTAAAAATTGAAAATTAAAAATGCATATTTTGCATATTTCGTCGATTTTCGCATATTTGTATGCATATTTAATACGAGTATTTTCTAAAAAAATTATTTTTTTAATTTTCAACCAATTTATTTTAAATAATGTTACATAAAGAAACACTAATAAAACGGAAAACGTACATCATAAAAACTCAATATTATTTTTTGTGATTATTTATTGTTATTTTTATTACCTACTATGAATTTAACGAAAATATTGGTGGTTCAAAGCAAACAACTTAACAGGTATTATACAACATATATTTATTTCATATTTCACAAATAATGAAAATATATTTGTTTCACTATTTTTTCAATAAAATCTCAATGCCAACTGGTTATGCGCCATATTTTAGTTGTCAACTATACAGTTTTTTAAATATAGATTTTTTATTATTTTCTAATTATTTTTAATACATAAATATTTTTTTTTTTGCATATTTCACATTTTTTCATGCATATTCAATCATTTGTTCGTGTATACTTTGATTTTATTGGCTCCTATAACTTCCGAACCCTACATATAACCATATTAATAACTTTTATTAAAACAAAATATATACGGTTTATATAATCATCAAAAATTAATAATAATTAATTAAAAGAATAATTTTTTTGTTAATTTAGAATAATAAAATACTTTAGGACTTTTGAATGTAATTTTGAAAATTACCCTTAAAAATTTGATTTAATTAATTTATGAAATATATATTTTAAATTTTTATTCTTAATGAAATATATAATGATGACATTTTTAAATCAAATAAATAATGCAATTAAGAAAAATTCTATTACATTTTAAGGAATTAGAACTGTAATTAGTGAATATTAATTTTAACATGCAGTAAATAATTCATGCAGCAAAATAGATACAATTGAAGAATGTTTAGCTATATACAATCAGCCCACCTTACCTCAGTTGTTAACTGCCCCTGAAGCAAACACTTCCATTGACCTTTTAAACTTATAAAATTAATATATTTCTAAGTTTTTGGTAAAAATCATCCAGCCCATAACCACTGATTGCTAAATTAAACTGAAAAACCATAACCTTAACTAAAGTTATTTTACCACAACCAGTTTAAAAATAAAATTATAACTCAATTGATTTTGGTGATTTAATTATTAAAAATAAAGTATATAATTCTTACCTTTTTGTAGGCTTGAATTATCAAAACGTTCCACCTTTCAATTGATTTTTCTGCATTTGTTAAACAGTAATCAGGAATATAATTTGGCAAAAGATTTAATAATCTCTCATTATTAAGATCAGTGTTGTGTTCAATATAATATTGTTGGGCAGCAATCATAGCTAAATCCTCTTCCTTTTTATTAGTTTTCAGATATTAATTGAAAGTTAATAACAGTTAAAAACTAAAAGTTGGATAAATACACAAACCTTATCACAACGATATTCACCAAACTTTACACCTCGAACTACTTGCTGGTATATTAAGTTAGTTGCTACTTGATCTTCTGTTGGCTCATGCCAAGGAGCAAAAATTTCTTTTCGGAAAAATAATCTCCAAGGGGCATTGCGTTCTTGAGCTCCCTGCTCTTTAGCATACTGTTCACATTGTGATATTGCATCCATAACATGATCACCACCACTTCCCAAAGATGACACCTTTAAAGAAATAAAATTAATATTTTAGGATCCATAATAGAAAATCAGAACTTAATCAAAATATATATGTACACACTTTATCAAATAATGCAATATAAAGAGAAAATCCAAATTGATCTTTCAGCCCAATCTTATCAGAGAGCTGATTACAAAGTTCTCTTGCTGTTGTTGCAGAATCAGCTAACAAAGTTTTTGTATTTCCATCCATAAAAGTTATAGGAAGCATTATAGGCTTTTTAGATTTTGTAGCCTAAATAATAAATACATACAATTATAATTGATATTCATTATTTACACATTTGGATTTTAAATATTTCATGTACTAACCTGTAATTCTAACCAACTGGGAGGTTGATTTCTTGTTCCATTATTAAATGTACGCTTAAGACGATCTTCACAATAAGGAGCATAACCTGGAGGACCCTCTCTTATAAACGCTCTCAGGTAATTCACAAATCTTTCAGAAGGAGCAAAACAGCCAACACAAAGAGACAATAAAATCCATCCTCTGGCATGAGATGATTTTGATGGATTTGCAGAAAGTTGTTTACAAATTTGACAATATATTTCATCTCTAAATAAAGATTTAAAATTATGTTTATGCCACATTTCTATAGTATTTGAAAAGTAACTTATATATACTAATTTTATTAGAGCATAGAATAGGAATAATAATATATAATAATAATAATAATAATAATAATAATAATAATATAATATATAAGAATAAGTAAAAACTCAAATTTACCTAAGTTCTGCTCGTAAAATACCATGTCCAATAATAAAATGGAGTTTTTCAAGATTAGATGTAGGACGAGCATCTAACCAAGATTGATAACTATCAGCAGCATATTCATCATCTTGTAATCTTTTTCGTACATCTTCTCCCAATTTATTTTTTCTTTTCAAAGTAAGAGATACTAACTTATGACGGATAGATCTAGGTTTAGTTTTTAAAAAAACTTTCCTGCTTTTAATTACAAATAAAAATTAACTTTTAGAAAATATTAATATAAATACTAAATCCATGATTAAAATGCACTTTCTGGATCCATTCCAATCATTTGAGCTTCATAAAATTCTTTACTACGGATAAAGTTACGACCCAATGTTGCTGTTACTTTTGACATAACTGAAGTATTGTCTCTTTCCATCGAATGATATCGTGGCTCATTTAAATCACCACAAAATCGAAGTATGGTAATCCAAAGTGCTTGGGCAGCCTAACAAAAACAATTTATAATGAAAATCTTACCCAGTTACAAATAAAAATAGCTACAAACCAACTGATCTCCTTGAGTATGTAATGGTAGCAAAGGATGCTTGAGAGGTTTTTTTGAACATTGATGAGTTATATTTCCTTGGAAATACGTAGCTGCAAATTTTTGGAACTTAAATTCACTTAAATCTTCTTCATCATCAACTGGTTGTAGTTGTAAATCAGTAATAATGTCTTGTTGATCATCAGTTTTTGAAGTAGGAAGATCCTAAATAAAAAAATATGACAATAGTATCAGTTATAATAATTAATAATTATTAATAATAATAATAATGTTATTAAAAAATTTAACTAAATAATGTATTTTAAAATTAGAAACTAATTCCCAAATAAAAGAACAAACAGTTGCTTTAATGATCTTCATTTATAGTATTATCTTAAATTTAAATATTTAAAAAAAAAAATGTTTTCATATATATATATATTAAAAAATATAATTTAAATTAATCATATTGAAAGAATCAATAAAAATCATACCATAAAAACAGAAGTTCCTCTAGTTTGCATAGGTGCTTCATTATTAGAATCTGGAAGAAAATCAAACATAGCTTCAACAAGTTTGCTATCATCAACAGGTTCATCTAGCTTTCTTGCTGCATTAGTAATAAGATTTTTCTTAATTTCCATTTGCCTTTTTTCTTCTTCCTCAATTTCATGTTCTTTTCTTTCTAATTCTTCCATGCGTTCCTAATTTTGTACAAAACAATATTTAAATAATTTGAAAAAAATTAATACCAGAAAAACTAACCCTGTAATTTTGTTCAGCAATTTCCTTAGCTCTCTTATTTCCAGCTTCTTTCAGTTCCTTTTCCTCCTTTTTCTTTAATTTTAAAGCCTCAACTTGTATTCTGAATTCAAACTGAAATAAAAAATTGTTCATATTTAATAATCAGAAGAAAAAATTAAGCAATATTATAAATAGGGTTCAGATGTTATAGGAGTTGCATATGGTTCTATATACTCTCAATTTATATCAGACCAAGATAGAAATCCGAGTTATACAATGTTAAGTTTAAAAATTAAAAATTAAAAATACATATATCGTTTATTTTAGAGAAAAAATGCATATTTCGTCAATTTTCAATGATTTTGGCATATTTGTATTCATACTTAATATTTTCTAAAAAAATTAATTTTTTTTTATTCTTAACCATTTTAAATAATTTTAAATAACACAACGCTAATAACGCGGGAAATGTGCATCATATAAAACTTAATATTATTTTTCGTGGTAATTTATTATTTTTTTTATTATTATTATTTTTTAATCGTTTATTAGGAATTTAATGAAAATATTGATAGTTCAATGCAATAACTTAACAGGTATTATACAACATAAATTTATTTCATAATTCAATAATAATGAAAATATATTTGTTTAACTATTTTTTCAAAAAAATCTCAATGCCAACTGGTTATACGCCATATTTTAACTGTCGACTATACAATTTTTTAAATATAGATTTTTAATATTTTCTAATCATTTTTAATAAATAAATAATTTTTTTTTTTTGCATATTTCACATTTTTTCATGCATATTCTATCATTTGTTCGTGTATATTTTTACTTTTTCGGCTCCTATAACTTCCGAACCCTAATGATAAATTATCTATCTACTTTTATTTTATTAAAACGTCTTTGAGCAATTATTCGTCTGACATGGGCTTGTATTTTAACAATAGCCCACATTTTATGAGCGCACATTCTTCTGACTAGATAACCTCTAGATTGTGCTTGTAATCCTACAATATGACCACGTAAATGTTTAAATCTATGAGATAACACACGTGATCTGATTACTGCTTGCAATCTAAGATAACCAACAAGCATTTGTTTATATTTTTTCTTTTGAGAATAGCCTCGGAAATGTTTTTGGATCAATACTGCAGCTGATCGCATACGCAAATATCTAAAATTAAATAACAATTTTATTAAATCTATTATTTTTACTTTTTTAATTACAAATATCTTACCTTCTTCTGTATACCCAACCCTTAATTGACTTTTGAATAATAATGATCTTTTTGGTTAAAACTCTATCACGTTCTTGTTCTAAGAATAAATCGTGAGCATCTTTTAAGAATATTTTTGAATTTCCTAATTGATAATCAGACCGTCCTAAAACAGCTTGGCAAATATGAGCTGTCATTTTTTTACAATCAGTCTACAAAAATATAATAAATTTAGTAAACTTAGATAACCTTTATAGTAAGATTATTTTAACCTTGTGTGCAGGAGGTATCCCAGGTATTAAAAATCGGTAACGTTCAATAAATTCATTAAAACCATGTCTTATTGGGTATCCAGCACGTCGAATTCGAATTGTTTCCATCATACCAGAATATCGAAGCTGCCGGCAACAGAGACCTCTATCAAACATCTAAATAAAACAAATATATTATATTAAAATATAGAAGTATGATAAATTAAAAATAAAAATACCATTGGTTTTTTTAATTCATTTGGTTTGATACACCGAATGAAAAATGGTTGACAGGTACACAAGGTTTTCATAAGTAAATCTAAAGACTTTTTGAACTGAGTCGATAATGTTGGAGCCCTTTTTCTGGTCTCTGAACCCATTCCAATGTCTTCAGCAAATAGAACTTTTAAAAATTTATTTGTTGAAATATGAATTAATTGTAAAAGATCAGCACTAAATGTATCACGGTTTTTCTCCAGAAATCCTATTTCATTAAAATTAATGAATAATAATTATAAATATAAAAATATACTATATCATATTACCTCTAGTATCATAGAAAACTACACCAGCAAAATGATTTAATCCAAAAGATGCATTCATATCTGATTTAGGCTTTAAATAGTTTCTATGATTCCCATGTGTTTTATGCATTTTGGCCAACATTGTTTGATCTGTACCCTATATATAAAAAGTATATAACTCAAATTATAACATTTTACACTGTTTCTATAAATTTATTAAAATAAAATATTTTATAATCATTAAAATTAACTCTATATAATATATAATATTGTTATTTAATCATAGCTTAACACTATATAAACAGAATAAGACTATTACAAGACTGATGGTACTACAGACCATAATAATTTGAGATATAGGTTTAAGGTACTACAAAAATGTATAGTCAGGGTTCTAGAAAATAATTATTGTAGTTAACATTTCATTTTGTACTATTTTATTTTGCCATGTTAAGTTTACATTTAAAAAATTTACATAACGTTTAAGTTGATGTCAAGTTAAGCATATTCAATGAAGCACATTCAAATTTGGTCCATCTATACTCTTAACTTAATATTATCTTTTTTTCTATGTTCTTAAAAAGTTGAAAATAAAAATCTCTTACTTTGGGAAATTTTGATTCTTCATCAATAAGAGCCATGATATTTAGTTGTTTGGTAGCAATGAGGTCTAGAGCATCTTGATTATCAACAAACTCTATATGTTGCCAACTAATATGTTCATGATTATATTCTTGTTGTTCCAATTTAAAAATATGTTGAACAAAAAATTGTTGTAAATTTTCGTTTGCAAAATTGATACAAAATTGTTCAAAACTATCGAAAAAAAAAACATATTAGTAATAATAAAAATTAATTATTACTAACTTACCTATTGGACTGGAAATTTTCGAATCCAAATATATCTAAAACACCTATTGCACTTCTTTTGGTACTCTTTGGTTTATAAATTGCATTATTAATTTTACTAACAATATGAACAAACAAACGCCCATAAATCCCTTTAACAAATGCATCTCTCACATCTACAGACTGTTCTCTTGATAATGTAGAAATCTTAAAATATTGATTAATATTTAATAATCATTAACTTTAAAATTAGCTCAATATGCCATTTATACACAAATACATACCACTGTTTCACCATGAGCAAAAATAGTTTTTCTAGTTAATGCATCAATTAATGATTGAACAGGAACTCCAACTAAATTTGCTACTCGTGTAACATTAGTACGTTCAGGAATTTCAGTGGCATCCAAATTATCTAAAGATGATTAATATTAATAATTTAATTTTATAAATACACATAATATAACACATTTACCAATTATTGCAGCTTTATATTTTATATTTCCTATGTGCAGTAAAGCAGCTAATAATTTAAGTACTTCCCAAATTTCTTGATCAGAAAATAACAATACTTTCATAGCTGATCTGATATCAGAAAATTCAGCAGAATCATCTCGTCCTTCACAAGTTATACTTCCACCCTACATTGAAAATAAATGCATTATAAATAAAATCAATACATATAGTACAAAGTTTGAAAAAATACACTTCAACTTACACCAGTGAGATATTTATATTGTGATGCATCAGAAAGTTCTAACTTTTCTTTGTCTTCAGTCGAAAGACCAGCTAATACACAATAAAATATGTGATAATTTCTTTCATCAAGAGATTGAGATACGATACGAGACTTTTCGAGAAGATATTGTTCAATTTTAGCTCCTTCAATTACGCCATTTTGATTAAAATGTATATCAATGTATTTACCAAATCTTGAAGAATTATCATTTCTAATGGTTTTAGCATTACCAAAGGCTGAAAAATAATAAATATTAATAGGTATTGAAAAATGATTTTTATAATATCAACAATTATTATTAACCTTCAAGTATAGGATTTGCTTCTAATATTTGTTGTTCAATCCAAGAATGTTTACCACTAATAGCTGCTAAATATTGTAAAATTAATTTTGTACTTTCTGTTTTCCCTGCTCCACTTTCACCACTAAAATTTAAAATATAATATATTTAAATTAAATTAATTAACTTTTTTGGCCTGAACCCATCCATAGAATCAGTGAATAATAGTAATTTCCTAACAATAAATAACACCAAACTAATAATAAAAAGTTGTTGTTGATAACATGTATAGCCTTATTAATAATAGATTAATAGGTCTATGACAACTAACTTTCAATAAATACATACCTAATAACTATACATTGATCTTGTCCAAATCTTTTCATATGAGTATAACTATTATCACCAATAGCAAATATATGAGGAGGTAATTCACCAATTTTTCTATCTTTATACAACTTTACTTGTTCGGCTGTGTATATAGGTAAAATTTGATATGGATTTACTGCAACTAAAATTGATCCAGTATATGTCTGAAAATTAAAAAAAAATGTAACAACATTCATAATAAAATACAAAATATATTAATAAAATAAACACTTACATATATTAAGTTTTCATTGTATCGTATAAGTAAATTTCTCAGTATTCCTGCTTCATGTAGATCACCTAAAGATATCATATCCTCTACTCCATGAATTGAAGTAGGATGCATTGCTTTAATTCGCCTCTCTGGCGTAAGCCATAGTTCCTAATTAGATAATTCATACACATTAAATTAAAGTTCAAAAAAATGTAATTAAGTTAATTTTAATTTTTTATAAAGAAAATATGAATTAATTTCAAAATTATATAATCTAAGGGTTATGTAATATCATTGATTCATTGATTCTGAAATGATCAGCCAATTATATTAAAACTAAAAGTGTAATTAATTAATTGATTAATTAAATAACATTTATGTTATTTTAATATTTGATAAACTTAAATAGATTTCTCAAACTTCTAGATTTAATACGAAAGAGTAAAAGTATAACAAAGTTAAATAAAATTATTTAAAATAAATTAGAAACTGTTATATAAAACAGATTAACATATTTATTTTGAATGTAATATTTGTTAAAGATCACACATTTTTAAAAATTTTATTCCACATATAGTGAACATAGACTAATAAAATAATTTATTTTTAGTTAGTATAAAAACTGACTGAATTTAATAACTTGTGTATACTTGTATATTCTGTAATACTAAGCTAACTAGTACTTTAATTATTTAAACATAATTCTAAATGGTAATTTACACTCTGAAAACATTATTTATTTTTATTGTAATAGTAAAAAATTAAAATGTATATAAAAATTTGATCGAAATCCAGAATATATTGGTTTTACAATTATAGTTTTTCTATTTTAAACTTTTATAATTTATAAATACATACTTGAATTAATTTAATATTGTTATTTCAGCTGTATTATTACATAGTATCAACATTTTTTATGAAATATGAGTATTTCTACTTTTACAAGATAAATAATAATAAGATTCTAGGTAATTTGGTATAGTGTATTATTTTTGAAGTAATAGAAATCAAATACTCAGTCATTTTTGTAGTAAAATATTTTAAAATTGTATTGGTATCAAATAATTAACTACTTAAATTATTAATGAAATTAATTTTGAATCTACCATAATTTTTATGTATTTATTTTATTAAATGTGTATCAAAATAAATATGTAGTAAATAATTTCAATTTCATTATATAATTTTTCTTTGATCAAGTTATGTAACAATTAAACAGAAATACAATTCATGTTGAAACTGACATAAATTAATTAATTTAAAACATTAATTAAACAAAAAAAATAAAAATAATTTAATAATTGTACGCCCTAAAATTACAATTTACTACAGTACAATTTAAACTAAAACAAAATTAATGTTTTGAAAAGTATGTATTAATTGGATTGTAGTTATAATTTGAAAATATATTATATTAAATATAAATATTTTACAGAATAAATAAATTAAACTAAACAACAGGATGTAACAATTAGATAGGTATGTTTAATAAATTGTTTATAAATTATTATATTTTATTTTTCTATAATACATCTTCTGTAAATAAGTATCATCTATAACTATAAGACTTAAAATTGTTAACTTAAAATTAAATACCAACAATAAATTATTTTATATGTACTTAATTAAATATTGTAAAATATAAACTATGGTTAAACAAGTGACGTAATAATTTTTTTGTAAAATATGTGACCTTCCTAAAAATAAACTGGTTTATAATGTTTAAATAGATCCAATCTAATATTAAATACAAAACTAAATTTAATATTTTTATCATTTTCAAGTGAACTAATCTTATCTTTTATTACTAGTAGTATCTATTGGTTGTAAAAAAAAGGCAAATAAGTACTTACATGATTGATATATTTAGCTAATGTAAATTAAAAATTAATCATATATGTTATACATTATTTAATTTTAGTATGAAAATATTATTTAAGACATTCTAAATAAAATGTAAATAAAAAAGTTATATTACTCTAGTTTTCAAGTGATTACGGTTATAAAATATATATTTGAAAACATTGAATTGAATTAAATTAAATTAAAAAAAAAAAAAAACATTGAATCTAAATATCTACATCAAGATCAAAATACTTTAATAAAACCAAGTATTATATACAGTTAACTTTGATTTAAATCTCAGTGAACAAGTAGAGGGACATTGGAAGTAATTTTTATAATATTAATACTAAAAAAAGACTTCAGTCCTTCTGAATAAATTAGACTACTGGCACCTAATATATATATATATATATTTAAAATCGAGTGATATTTATTGCTAGTCGAAGAAATGTGTACAAAGTATACAGGATACATATATGAAATTACTAGTTATGCTCTACACTGAGGTAATACCTCTTATTGTAGAGCAAGAATACTTATTTAGATATAATTTTAAATATAAAGAAGAGAGAGAGCATATATGTACTATATATCACTAGCCATAATTTCAAAGCATTTATTATGCTAAGATCACATACCTAACCAGTCAAAACATTGCTTAAAATTAAATTAAGAAAAACTTACCCTTCCATCATCATCTTTAACTTGGATGCGCTTTCCTTCAGCTGAAATAACTCTAGCGCCAATAGCAACATCAAATTCCCTTCCAGATATTGGTTCTATCCAAATATAATCTCCCTAAAATTATTTATAAGTTCAATAAAATTAAATATAGCTATAGAAAATAATTTCAACATACTCTAGTTACTATAACCATAGCGGTATGTACGATGGAAACTTCCTATGTAGTGTCATACCATTGAAACATGCATCTAATATTATTAAAAACAAAATATTAACTATTACACAATGGTCAATGTTGAATATACAAATAATCTAGACATTGGACTACAACGTAACACTCGATAAACCACTGGGGTAGGGCATTATAATAACGTTCCATAAATAATTAGTTTGAAAATAATATTGGTGAACCCTAAGTTGTTCCGATCGTTCATGAATCGTGAAACAATTCAAAAATTATCTAACAACAAAAATTGAATTAGCTCAACAGGTGTTAGGATCAAAACGTGTCGTGAGATGTATGCAAAAAAGCAGCGGTGGATGAGAGTGCATTAGGGACGAATAACACACAAAAATCGGTAATGTATGCATCTAGGAATTAAAAAAAAAAAAAAAAAACCCGAAAACAATACGAAATCCAACGGACCAGAACTGCAATGTAGGAACGGTTTATACACGTTATGCAGACCGCGCCGACACAGTATATTGTTCGAGGTCGACAATGGGAAATTCTCGAATTGTGTGTACGCACCGGCGATTTAAAATGTTGAAAACAACAGCAACTCGCCCGGGGAACCGATCGACGCTGGGGACGAAAATCCGATCGCGATTACGATGTCAATGTTCCGAGCGAGAATCGACGAACGCGCGCGCACTTTATCGCAAAATGTAATACAGTATCGTGCCGAGCGTATGCCCGCCGAGAGAAGATATCGGGCTGATGGAAATCGCATTCGTCACGGTGCGCCGCGCAACTGCTGGTCGGGCGGACACGTCGGTGGCGGAGGCGGACGAACGGTAGACGAACGGAGGGGCGAACGTTACAACTCACTTCGGCGTCACCGCCGGAAGACCGTCTCGTCCGGTTCACCGTCCCTGGATGCTATGGGTTTTCGGTGACGTTGATGACCACCGGGCGCGAGTGGATCAATGGACAACGAGAATAAACACGAACACCCGCGCGGCCAACAGTCGTGATAGCAATAATAGCGATAGTGATAATGTGTACCGTAATACTCTACAGTAGCGATTCCGTTTAAAAATTAAATACAATATTAATAACAACGACAACAACAATCGTAATAGTAATAATAATAATAATAATAATAATAATAACAATAATAACATTAATTATAATAGTAATAATTCTCTGGGTCCACAATCTCTGGATCCTTACTATTTGTTTAGTATTATTACAATAACGTAGCGGTTAATACGTCCACGCGTCTCGGTCTCGGTCGGCGGCGGTCGATGCCCGGCGGCAGTGGTGCTCGCGCAGTGGTGGATATGATGTCGCGCGCGCACACGCACACGCACCCGCCGTACGCTTAAAAATGTGAAAACGCGCACCACCGGGAACAGACTCCGCCGATCCGGTCCGGTCGTCGCGCGTTATCTCTGCGCGTATTGGCCGGCCGTCCGTCTCGTGTGCTCGTTTCGGCGACTGCGGTACGGGCTCGTGCGCGTGTGCGCGCGCGCACCGCCGTCTCGGTATGTTCGGGCCGCCGAACCAGTGTTGGCCGATCGCGTTCCGAGAAATTACCCCCGCACGACGCCCCGGATCCACTGGTCGCGGGGCGGCGGCGAAGCGGGTATCCGTCGGTATCGTACGCCGCCAGTTTACTGTTCTACCTTCATGCCAGTAGAACCGCCACCCCTCTCTCCCGCCGACGGCACCGCTGAATCGTGTTCGTGGTACCCGCAATCGTCACACGATAACGGGATTCGCCGATGATAACCAATCGGACACCTCCTCTCCGGATCGGCCGCCGTGCGAGTTCGTGCAAGTGGTACATGTGTTTCGTCGCGTTTTTCCACTGTTAACCCATTGCCGTATCGCTCTCTCTTCATCCGAAACCGTTGTCCACATCGCTGCTGTCGTCGCCGTCTCCGCATCGCGCTGTGCTCGTGAATTTTTACGCGCCCGACCGAATCACACGTTCATCGCTCCCGATCCCCGTCGGCCCCGTCTACTCCAAACGGTAATAATCTATTTTTTACCGTCATCGTATTTTCGTATCGGGATATTTTTTTATTTTTTTTAATCATCCGGTATTTATTTACTCTTTCCCCCACCCACTACTACCTACTGCTCATCCACCCTTGCGTGGGCATTACTTTCGGTTTCTCGAGAGTGTATCGCCAATCGAAAATGGTATTTTATTTATACTGTTTCGTCCACGTAGTTTGTATTATTAGTTAAACGACTCCCTCTTGATCCCCTCGGCGACGATTCGATAAGAAATCGGCCTTTCTCTCATCCTTATCATATTTATGCACACACCGATTAACGCACTAACTACTTTTCTTTTTCTATTTTGCGTCTAGTCAGAGCTCCACGCACACTAATCATGGCTGATTTGGATAATTTTTTCGCGAAGAAAGACCGCAAGAAATCCAATAAAGGCAAGAAATTCTCTACCTCTTCGGACAATGTGACCACCTCTCAGGAAGAATTGCAGAAGAAACAAGATAAACAAAAGAAGGAAAGAGCTCTAATCCAAAGTAATTACTCAAATGAAAACAACGAAAACAAATCTTCCACGAAGGTAAATAATTTTTATCTAATTAATTCAAACCCGCATTATGTACATATTAATTTATTTCGTTGATCTTAATGTCTTATTCTTAATAAAAATTGGATTTGTGTACAGACAAATAAAACAATTAGATCAAGGATATCTAACTGATGCCAATAAATATTTTTTAGTTATAATTTCTTAATTTCCATTTACTATAGACTTAACAGTGCTCAAATTAGGAGTGTGCGCAGGGGGACGGAGCTCTACTATTTTTTTTGCGTACCCCAACTATATTTTTTATTGTAACTGGAGGTCGTTTACCCTAACTCATATCCAAAATAAATTTTTTTAAATATGGATTTCAATATATGAGGTGTGGCAAAGCAAAGTGATCTAAGTGCCAAAATTTTAGTTTTGGGCAAATCAATAAAAACTGTCCCATTTTTACATGTGTGAACATACAAATAGCTCCATCTATAATTACTTTTAACTACAATTTATAGATAGTTTAGAGATAGATCTCTTTACACAGTATTGGGGTGAGCACATAGATCATTTTGGTGTAATAAAAAAGTATTTTTCAATTTTTGGCACTTAGATCACTTTACCTCGCCACACCTCATATGTCAATTTTATAATGAATATTACGATTTATAATATCAAAACTATTTTTGATATTCGTTTATTAACACGTTGAACTCTGTTAGTATTATCACTGCCTCAATGCCCAGCTTATATTAGCCCAAATTACATTCAACCTACTAGTGAGTATGTGCCGCAGTTATAGATAAAATTTGTCGACCTGGCAACCCGCACTTAGTAACATGCAAAATATATAATTAGTTGAAAATTAATTCGAATGTGTGGTAAATATAATTCTATTTAGTATTAGTATATTAGTACCTATATATGTACATGAAAAAAAATATTTTCATAGTAAAAGATTATATGGTGGTTATGATAAGCGACAGTGTCGTCATTTCAGAAAAAATATTAATAATAATGTCTAGTATATACAGTTATAATTTGGTATATACCTTATTCATTGTATGGTTTGTTATTAATATATTTGATATAAATATTTGGAATTTAAATATTTATGTAGCTGAAAAGTGGTATTTAAAATATATATAAGGTTAATGGAGGGGAGCAAAACCCCCACGTGTCTTTGTTAAACAATTTTGCATATGGAACGCAGTTTTTAAATGATTGGACTGAGCTCCTCTACTTAATTTGTCCCAATTCAACTACTGAGATTTAATATGTCATGGGTGTTATTAAAATAACCAAAGAAATAATTGATAACAATTTAAATCACTTATAAGCCAAGGATGAGGTTTATTCAAATACAAATAGGCTGCTTATACTAGATTTATATTAATATAGTTTTTTTCAGCCTATAATTTAAATAAACTCAAGAAATTATACCTTCTAATTTGCCCATTAATATCCTAGTTTTGTTTTTTTAATAAATATATAAACAATAGGTATTATATTAATTATAAATTACTAAAATAATTTTAATAATTATACAATTACAAAAATGATTTAAGCATTGATAAAGCTGCTTCTGCCTGATTAATTAAATTGAAGATACTAGTTTTGTTGCAACCAATACTTAGTAATACTAATTATTTGTATAATAACACCTCAAATAATCATCATTTGTGATATTCAAGTCATGAATGATAATATTTGTACAGGTATTAAATATGGTAACAGCAATATTTTATGCATTTACTAATATAAATTTAACTGTAAATAGTTCAACATGCAGTTTACCCATTTCAATCATTTTTAAATATTTATCTTGTTCTAAGTACTTTTATAATTTTTAAAATCCTAAAAATAATTATTTTTTTGTTTGAGAATATTTTATATAGTTAATATTAACTTTTCTGAATATTAATGAATTGCTCTATAGATTTGTATTTTGAAAATAAAAATAAATTTAATTACAACTAAATTCTAAAAAAATATAATAAATATATCAGATACATTACCTATTATAATGATGGTTGTTGAAACATTAGAATATTCTTGTTGATTTTTTTTAAATTTTCCAACAGCTGGAAGAAGAATGGAATGAATATCAAGAAGAAATAAAAGACTATACAACACTTAAAATTCAAAATTTAACTACTGATTCTCCTTATTATTCTGATAATAATGATAAAGAAGATGATGTTGAATTTGAAGAAAATGAAGCAGGAGAAATGGTGCCAAAACGAAAAAATCCAGGACCGTGGAAAGTACATGAACCTGAACCCACTCCACCTACAAATGGTAAAACATTATTTTCAATAAATTTTTATCAATTTATGTGCCTTAAATTAAAATTCTACTAAAAATTGTATTTTTTAATTAACTTTGGAATAAATCTAAATTTTTAAAAAATGTTCTTAATTATAAACTTAATTTTTTCAATATTTCAACACTATTAATTATTTTACATTTTTATATACAAAAACTTTTTTAAAAGATTTATTGAACTTTATTAATGAGTTAGAAAATCCTAATATTTATACGTGTGCGAATATATTTTAGATTATAAACTATAATTTTATGTATTATTTAAAAATAATTTGGTATACGTATATTTTTCAATATTAGATAGTATGAATCATTATTGAATACTCGTATTTTGATATTATTTTTTATATTGGTAGCTAGTTCAAATTTAAAAAGTATCAAATTAATATCATCATGTCAACAATTGTAACTGTTAAGTGGTAATTAATGGGCAGGAATATAAGGTATTCTAAACTTATGCTACATCAACCTAAAAACATAAAAGTTTTACTATTATAAGAATATTTTGTATGAATTTTAATAATTATTAATAACCATTCAAAATATCTCTAAAAAATATATATATATATTTTTAGTTTTAAAAATTCATCACTTTTTTTGTGGTTGAATTATAAAAAATTGTGAAGAAAATTAAATAAAAATACTATTTGATACAAAAATATCTTGAAAACAATTGATTGCCATATTTCTACAGTTTTAATAAACACAATGTGTTAGCTACTCATTTTTTTCACTTTTTTTTTTTTTTTTTTTCACTTTTATTTACATTTTCATAATCATGGTAATTTTTCTAGTTTGTTTTGAGATTTATAAGTCTAGTAGACATTTTTATGTATTCTGCTGCTATTGAACTATAGTGATCTGTGTTAACTATAACATTTTTAACATGAATTTCGCTATGAATAATGTTTATTCTCATCACTTAATAAGATAAATTTTGTAGGGATTAACGCCATAGGCATAATATATTTTACATATATACAAGCCTGACGAGAAGGGGTGGTAGGGATGATTCCCCCGGGACCAAAAATTAGGGACTTCAAATTAATACAAATTAAACACTATTAATGAAAAATTTGGAATAAGTTTATTTTATAATTATTATTAACTATAGGTTAATTTAATACGTCAAGTCCGTGGTCGACCGCTACTGATTGTTCATAAAAACATTAATGTTATCTTCGTAAGAATCTATTTCTGTATGACTACATAGTTTTTTTTGTTGGGAAGTTTTTCATAATATGAATAATAATAATATTTAAATTCCGAGTATTTCGATAGTATATTTTCCAATTACAAACCCATTAATCTAATCTAATCGAAAATCTGTAGATAGTTAAAATTTTAACTATAAATAAAAATAACACCATTCGTATGAAATATTATATAGGAGATTATGGAAAGATACCATTTGCTTTGAAATAATATTATTTAATAGTGTTGAACATTCCTTCAGCGTGCTTTCAAGAAAAAAAACTTTCATCGGTCCTGTTCTACATAGACAAGAGTTTCTGCATTAGCAACTTTTAGCTTAAAATTAGTGTTAGCAAGGCAGATTAATTTAAAAAATAGTCATTGACTCATTTGCATCAGAAAATAATACATGTATAATAAAAATTAAATCATTTCTGTAAATAATTGATTTATAATATTTTTGAGTAGTTTTCTTTAAATTCCACGCCATTTATACCCATACTATTTTACTAATAACAGTTACCTAACAATTGTAATGATTAGTGGTGGGAATAATCGAATCATTCAATTGTTATTTTTCGATTATCAAAATAATTGAATGATTTTAATAATCCAAATAATGGTACCAGACATATTTATAAAAAGAAAATTAATTGAATCATTCGAATAAATTTGTGCGTTTTACTCATTGCCCATTAAGTACTAAATTAAGAAAGTCGACTGTCCATCAGTAATGTATTATTATTTATTTTATTTTTAATCATTGGTATAATTCCCGGTATCGATAACATTAATTAGTGATGGGCGTAATCGAGATGTCTCGATTATCAAAGTAATAATTCGATTATACCGTATACCCGAGTGATTACTTCGAGTGATATCTCATTTATTTTAAAAACAATGAATTCTTGATCTCGAAATGTGTTTCGAATGAAAAATTACATCGAATGATTTTTATGGAACAAAGGAGTGAGGGAGAAATAATATTTTTAATCTTCATAATCGAATACAAGTAAGTAAATATTAGTTGTTCACTTTGTGTCTTTGTATTTTCGATTCGTGCTACTCGTGGGACTGGTTGTTAGAGGAATATTGATGGGTATACGGTTATTCTTAGTTATTTATATTACCTATTGCTATAATTTTTGAATTAGTCAACCACAAAACAACAAAAATTTCTCAGAACGTTTATAAATAAAATTATATTACATTTATATTTATGTATTATATTTCAATTGAACATTTCGAATGATTATTTCGAGAGATGTCTCGGTTATAAAAATGTCTCGAATACAAATAATTCGTTTATTGAAATCATTCGATTTCGCCCATCGCTAATATAAATATAATATTCCCATTATTATTAACTTATGATAATAGCGCGCTATTTGAAATGAGCCAATTAGAAACGACCGGTCGTGTAGCGATGTATGGTATGTTAATATGCCCCCGGGCCCGAGTTTCTCTTTCCGCGACTCTGTATATTATATTATATATTTATATATGTAAACACTCGTCGAAAAATAATATATTTTTGAGATCTGAAAGGTAAAAAATAGAAAAAGCACAACCAACTCTATTTTCACTTTAACCTTACCTAGGGTGGTATCCGTGCCGTAAAAGTCGTAGGTGCAGGCGGTGCACAGCACTGGAGCCCACAGGGTCAAAGGGCATATAACATATAGCCGTCAATTTATTTATTTTTTAATTTGATTTAATTTGATTCATAATTATTGTATTATTATCTTCTATTTAATTTTATATTACAAAATGTAAAAGTCTGGTCCGTTTTATTTTGAATTGTTTATCTAAATATTGGGAAAACTACTAAGCCTTGAGTGACAGATTACTTTTATATTGTATCTATCTTTGGTCTACTTACACATAACCGTTCCCTATCCGTACCGTCCGTTCCGTGTCCGGCGCTTAAAGTTTGTTTACTTGTTATATAATGGGCATGTTTACACAGGTCCGTTCCGTATCCGCACTATCCGTGTCCGTGCTTTAAAATTTGTCGGAGACAATGTTTTTAGGGATTTCACTGATACGGATATGGAAAATACGGAACTATGTAAACAGTCGTCAGTGACAACTGACAGCTTGATCGGTTTTCATACCTACTCGCGAGACGTATTTGTAAAATTTAAAAAAAAATTTTAAAGTTTAAAGTATTTAAAAAGTTGTTTTTTCAAAAACTTGAGTATTTACATTTAAATTATGTGTACCAATATCGACGAAAAAATTATAGAAATGGTTCGTTCTCATATAGAATTAGCAGCAAGGCAAGTACAGCTAGATCTTCTAGCGATTCTGCACTTCCAGTCATATTATAATTTTTTTCAAGCACCCAAAGCAACAATGAAACACGGTATGTAAAACGCGCGTTAGGTCAAAAGATAGGTTCGAACAGTACTGAACGGGCACGGACAACGGATGCTGATCGGACACGGAACGGTATTGTGTAAATCCAAAGCACTGAAACTAAACGGACGGTACGGATACGGAACGGACACGGAACGGTTAGGTGTAAATAGACCTTTATTCTACAAGTATTTTTATAAATAAAATATACCCAATACACAATTGTGATCTTGTGTATACCTACTAAGTTGAAGCTTAACATAAAATTATTCCAGCGAGAAAATTATCTATCGGTTCTTTAAAATTCAGTACATCCACAAATACTATCCGATCTAAGGAGTAAAAAATTCCCATATGAAGTTAGTCCGACTTTTTTATGTATCTCAAGAAAGAGGGGCCCATGTATATTTGTCTGCACCTGGGTCTTTGACGCTCTAGTTACGGCACTGGATGGTATTGCATTGTAAATCGAGTGATATTTTGTTTTTAATTGTCTGAGTGAGTGACCCTGCCATACATTTTGACGCGACTAAACAAAGAAAAGTGATAATGAATAATGGCTATTGTTTACAACGTACAAATTAAATCATTTTTATTATTATTAATATTATTTCGTTATAATATAAATTATTATTTGTTATTTATTATGTATTGTTCATATTAATATTTTAGGGCAATTTTCTTTATAGTTCTTAATACTAATAGTGAAATTCAGTATATATTTTATGATGGGTAAATGTTCTGTTCGCAATGATAGGGTTTTAAAATGTGACGAGTATTTTTTTTTGTCTAATTTTGATTTTATTTATTATTAATTTTTATTTACATGTGGAAGCTAATTTTTTTTAAAGGTAAATTATGATAATAAAGCATCTTATTTTAAGTCACTTTTGTTTACTCTTCCTATGATTTTTGTCACTTAAATACTACTTTTTTCCGACTTTTTATTGCTATCAGCACTGTAAAAAATATTTTGTTAGTTTTTGTAATAGTTACTTCTTTTATTGAATTGATAAATTCATAAGTATTATATAAAACTAAAACAATTGATTACTAAATGGCATATTTTATAATGTATTTAATTAGAGTAGTGAAATATTTTCAATATTTTTTTAGCTCCAGAACCAGTAGTTGAAGAAAAAAAAGAAGTTAAGAAAAATGCTTATGTTCCACCAGCTCATAGAAATAATTTCCAAGGTAACCTATTCAAAATAAACATATAAAATTAATTTGAAAATATTTGCTTTAACAAAAATTAAATATAAACATTTTTAATTTAGGAGGACCTAGAAGTGCACCAAGAAGTAAAACTAGTTTAGATGTTAAAGATGAAGATATGTTTCCAACTTTACAAGGCAATAATACAGTAAAAAGATCAGTTGCTCCTGCAGCTAAGAAGGTTGAAACTCCAGTGTGGTCAAAGTATCAATGATCGTAACTTCAATCGTCTTGCACATAAATATTATCATGCTTAAACAAATTTAAATAAAATAAAATATTTAAATTATTATTTAGAAAAAGTTTATAAAGTATTTTTCAATTTTTCCATACTGATAATCTCAATTTGTTATGAAAATATGTTTTTCGTTCATTAGTCATAAATATTAATTAAAATTGAAACTGTGATCAAATTTCTATAAATATCATATTTTAAGTGAAATACTATTTTATTAATTTCATTGATTATGACTGTGAGTTGTAGATTATATACCATTTTAATCTATTCCTTGAATCTCATAACATTTCCTTAGATCCTTTTTATCATATTTTTAAGTTCAAATTTAGAAGAAAAAAATTTAACAATTCAGATACTGAGTAAGAATCTAAAAACATTTAATATGAATGTCTTAATTAAAATATCTATAATTATTTACAGTGTTGTATAAAATGCATCTTAATTATCTAACTCAAGTGCCTGAAATGTTATGAACTATGTATCCTTAAAGACAAAAATATATCATATAAATTTGAAATTAATTAATATAATGCATAAATGCTGAGTATATTTTTGAAAGAAAATGTGATTCAAAATATGTAACAAAAAAATAATGTTTCCTTTTATGTAAATGAGAACTTTTATGATTCATTGTGGTTAAGAGTTACACTAGAAATATAATGACAAAGTTCTTTATTAGTCTCTTATTAGTCCCTCCAGTTCCTGGTACTCGAACCAGTTGTCATTTTAGTATTAAGCAATCTGTTATGCCATATATCTAATTGAACATTAATAAAACATATCATATATATATATGTTCAATTTAGATTAATCACAAATTCATCAAATGAATATAACATAATATTGTAATTTATTCAGAGGTGTATTTTTAAATATATTTATGGGTTTATGCACTATTAAAATATGGATATTAATTCTAAAAAATGTTCTCGCTTTGGTCAACAATTTTTTCTTCTTACTATGCTCAAATACATTAAAATAATCCCTTATATGTTTATAGCTTCTAATAAGACTATAAAATACAACACCATAAAAATATTTACCGCACATTATAAATAGCATGATCTACATTTAAGAACCATGGGCTGAATGTGCATACTCCTTATAATATTTAATAACATCTATTTTTTAAAATTTTTATTACTAAATTGAACCTAAAATACATTTAACACAGCATACACTATAATCTTCAACAGATAAATATTTTATTAAAACTTCATAGTCTATAACAATTTTTTCCTATGAACTATTCAAATATATTTTTTTGATTTTCGAGTTATTTTTGAAGGATATAACCGTAAAATAATATTTTGCTAACTGAAGAGTATACGGCGTATATTCTCGTGTACGTACCAATATACCACTAAATTTATTATTTTACAAATAATCATTTTTGATAATTTTCCAGTACTATAGTTTTATATATATATATATATATATATATACATAGACCGAAGGCGTTTGATAGCAAGACATCATAAGAAACTAAAAATGTTCCGGGTACCCGGCTTAATACTGAATATTTTACTCTATCTATTAATCAACTTTTACTCGACCCCTACTCAGTAACTGGCTGATAATCAGTGCATAAAACTATGCACACTTATTAATATAATAGAAAAATTTTAAGTTATACATTATACCTGTAATTTATTTTGGTGAATTTAGTAAATTAACAAACAAGTTTATATAGTTGATTATAATAGTTATAACTTTTTTATTCACAATTATTGGGAATATAATAAATTATTGTCCTCTGCGTTGTATTAAAATTTTTCTCGGCTAATACTTAGTTCCCGGTTTTAATCGATTTTCTACCCGGAACATGTCTATTAGAAACATATAAAAATTCTTGATAATCTGTTACAAAACCAAAACACGCAAATTTAGATCAATACAAACAGTTTAGGATCCGTCAGACATAACTACATAATCTAGGATAAGGGGTATGAATTCAATACTTAGTAGATGAATGGGAAAAAATTATTATCATGAACACTTCGTTTTGATAATTATTTGTGATCGATGAAATTGATTTCATGACCTTAAATAAAACTGGTCAAATATCTACTTAAAAAATAAAACTGCAATGGACTTAGGTACGTTAAATCGTTTTACTATACCTAAATCATACGCATTTATACATAAAGTACCAACAGGAAATGTAAGTTATATTTTCAATAAAATGCAATTTTAATACTTATTTTCGATCACTACAAAATGCATCATAAAATTGTCTTAAATATTAGTCAAAACATTTAATCATTTCATAATTTCGTTATTAATCATTATTATATTTCATTATATTATTATTTTTAATCGCCTTATCTATATTCACATCAGACATTTGAGATAATAATAATAAATAACAGTATTGAAATTCTTATCGGCGCTTTTTATTTTATTTGAGTTGTAAAATATCAATGTACATTTTAACAGTGCACTCAGTTATGTAATACAGCTACAATAAGAACATTTAAAAGTAATTTATAATTATAAAAATTAAAGTATATGTATGAGTATTAGGTAAATTAATTAACCATACTATAGTTACGTCTTGGGAAATATGAATTATTATTAAAAACGTCAAATATATATTATTAGCTTTATAACTAAATAACGTAAATAGGGATACGCAAGAAAAAACCAATAACAATTTTACTTGAATATTAACTAAATTTTTTAAAACCCAATTTTTTTTTTTTTTTTTATATTACAAGTGTATTATTCATTTTTAAATACAAATGCAACAAATATAATTAATTTTATATAATAATATAATTTTTAGTAATTTAAAATTTTATAAAAACAAAACGAAGTGAAAGTCATATTATTTACTTAGCATACTAATACAGTGTCATTTTCGTTGATGCATTTTTTGTATGTTTTACATAAATTACATTTTTAAGGATTAAAAAAACTTCTAAATCTTTTTGATAAAGCTATGTTTTTTAACAAATCTACGTTTACTAAATTTTTATACGCCTATCGCAGTTATGTATTAATTATTATACCTATAAACTATTATTGCAGTGTTATAAATTATAATATAAAATATATTAATTTTAAATTCTAAAGTAAATCTGATACTATTATGATATTATATGTGTAATTCAATTATAACATAAGTGAAAAAAAATCAGAGATAAATTGGTAATTAAAAGAATATAATCACCTACATTATATGAAAGATATAGGTGACTGATAAAGATATGAATATTTAAAAAGAAATAAAAAATATAGTAATTAATTCATTATCTACAGAACATTAAATCTGGTGAGAATAATTACGGTTATCTATTGGTATTTCATGTACACGTAATAGATATTAATGTAGATAACCGTTTATAATAGCTTTCTAGGAGGTCTTGTTCCAATCAAAATCTAAAATACATGAATTCCAAGAGTGGAGTGCCGAACACGAACTCACTTTATAGTACTTAAACGAATATAACCAATAAAAACTGTACAATACATATTAAATACCTATTTTCTGAATTCGATTGGAAGGTTGCCGAGTTAACTATAGTAACAAACATACAGACAAAAAATATTGAGGTAATCTAGTAAAAAATTCAAACGAAAAAAAATTATTGCACGGAGATAATATTGATTAGTATATTATCAGTTAAAAATGTTTATAATTAGGCAGGGGTCTTGTAGCTCTAAAAATTCCCAATTATGCACTTAAATATACAAAATATTCATTTTAAAATGAATTTTTTTGAACAAAAAATAAGAATTTTTCTATAAGTATTTATTTTAATGAATACATTTTATTTATAACTTTATTTAACAACTTACAAGTTATAATTAACAAATTGGGTTTATTTTATGGGATTTCTTATCTGGATACTTACTTTAGGCATTTTTTATAATAAATAGTAAATAGAACGTGTTTGGACTGTCAACCGTTGAGAAAAACAGCAATTACGTAAATATACGTTATTTTGTATGTATAAATAAATAAATAAAAACGTCGACGAAAAAATATTGATAAAATGATAAATTATTTAAATTTTCATCTAAAAGTATAAAATGGAAGAAATATGACCTAAAAACCAAAAAAAAACACAAAATATGCATTTATATGCACAATAAAATTTCAAAACTAGCTTTGTGGAAGCATGAAATATATTTGTTTCGCACTCTGCTATTTTTGTGACTGCGCAAAAAAATATAAAAATGCTACAAGTTCTCTACTCTATTTATAATGCATTATAAATGATCTCAAAATCTATACTTGATATTGAATGTAAAAATGATCTTTAACTGTTCTAAATTTATATAGTTATACAATAGTTCATTTATAGCTTTTTCTACATACCTCTTTATTAAATTTATCATTTAGATATATACTTATAATTACTCGTATAAAAATAGAAAACAGTAGTAATTAAAATAAGGTATAAGCATTTAAAACTCATGGTATCAAAATTCTAAGATTAATTAATTTTATTTTTAAATTTTAATAGTTTTAATAGGTTTTATCTTTTTCTGATTCTTAAAAATATTACAATATAATTATGTAATTATTTTGTAATTAGCATTGACGCAACTAAGAGGTTCACAAGGAATTTGTGCACTCGTGTATGCACCCCAATGTTAGGTTTAAATATTTTAAATTGACATATTTAGTAATAAATACAACTATTTTGTATTATCATTATTTTAGAATATATTAGCGGTGGACAGAATCAAGATACCGTTCGAAATAATCACACGAAATTTTTTAGTGATGTAATGACGGAATAATATGAGTTATTAGTTGTTACTCAAAATAAATATAATCGTCCTTAAATCATAATGAAATTTTTTTATATTTTTATTCTAACTTTCACCTGACAAACTATTATACCTGCATAATAAGAATTACAATTACAATTATTCTATACATATATAATTATATTACATGATAATTCATTGGGACTATTATATCTCAATATTAAATTAAAAAATTAAGTTATGTTTATTCAATTATTTTAACATTACAATTTATTAAATATACCTATACGTTTTGTTAAGATTGGGCTAACAAGTATTATAGGCATTCCCAGAAATATA